TTCTGCTTTGTTTAAGTTGTTGTTAGGCAGAACACTAAGAATGACTCAGCTCTGCATCCCAGTTTAAGTTCTGCCTCTCCAAAGCCAACAGTACACTTACACACACACACACACACACACACACACACACACACACACATTCATATCACTCTAAAGCAGATTTCCTTTCATTGACTTCCTAACTTACATGATTAACCTTGCCTACATTTGGTCAAATTTGCTAATGTGTACTCCCTTCCCTTCTCCCTACCACTCATCACCCAGAAACACTGTATTTCTAATGGCTGCTGGCATCTTACTAACTCTACCTAGCTGGGTCTGGCTGCCCTTCAGTCCCAGCGTGACATGTAATTAGCACCAAAAAGTGATGAATATACCAATTTGCTCTTCACAGCTGATGCTGAATAATCTTTTTATTTTAATTTCTGATTAATCTGACTAATGATATAAAGATCATTGTGTTTAGTTTATGCCCAGTTAAATATCTGTTATGGTATGCAAAACCTCCTGGCAGTTATCATGTGATATTCTGAATTGATATCAGCAATATAATGAATACACAATTCCCTCAATACCAAATTTAGTAAGCACAGGACCCAACTCCGAAAAGATGAGAAGAAATACATCTTCTCCTCCATAAATACTAGTGGCTCACTTCTACCTTGGTCAAGCTTATTTACTTATCATATTTGCTAAATGCTTAGGCCTTCCACAGACCAAATGCAAAGGAAATCAGGCATGCCAAAGTGTTTTCAAGGGGAGCTCCACCATCTTTTCCTTGAGAGGTAAGCAGTAACTCGGCTTTAGAGAAGAATGTCAGCAAACAGAGGGAGAAAGGCAAACACCCTACTTACCATAGAAGAGGAAAGCTTTGGTCATGTGATGATGTAGGTAGGTCCGATTGATGGTGAAGAAACAGGTATCTACTCCACACTGGCCCAGCCTTCCAGTTTCTCCAGTCAGTGGGGACCACCAGAGCATAATGGGGTAGCTATCAGTTTCCAAATTTTTTCTCCTATTCAAGGTCAGTGCTTCTTTCTTAGGGAATGGATAGAGATGTGTAGGCTCTTCCTCAATTTTTGCATGTCCATCTTGCAAATTAGAATTTTTAAGCTTCTTCCTTTCAAATTTTCCCAGCTCAATCACTACCTAAAAAAAAAAGACAATTATTCCCAAAGTCAGACTGTTTAATTTCCTTTCGCACACCTCCCATTCATCTTAATGATTTAGCCTCTTATTAGTTTCTATTGTTGCTGTAACAAATTACCATAAACTTGGAGATTTAAAACAATACACATTTATTATACAGTTCTAGAGGTCAGAAATCTGAAACAGGTCTCACTGGGCTAAAATCAAGGTGTCAGCAGTACTACATTCCTTTCCGGGAACTCTAGGGGCAGGGGGATGGGGGAATCATTTTCTTGCTTTTCTATCTTCTTCAGCCAACCACAATTGTTGACTCGTGGCCCCCTTTCTCCATCTTCAAAGTCAGCAACGTTGCATCTCTCTGATCTTTCTGTCGTCACATCTTTCTCTGAACACAGGCAGGCAAGGTTCTCAATGGGCCCGCACAGATAATTCAGGACAATTTCATTTCAAAATGTGTCACCTTCATCCCATCTAAAAAGTCCCTTTAGCGATGTAAGATAACATATTTAGGTTCCAATGATTAAGGCATGAATACAGCCTCTAAAATATGTACCAACAAGGATACTTAATTCTACTAAACACAGAACAGATACAGTTCTCCTTCATTTCATAGGCCCATAGGCCCAGAAATAGTTTTGTCTCCTAATGAAACCTGTGAGAGTCAGGCCTATTACCTGGCTATCATTAGAGATTACGTTCTAGGGAAGATGAGCTATAAATTATCAAGTGGTTTCTTTTTATTAGAATTAAAGAAGTCATAACATGGGACTTAAATTTCTAGTAATATCCTCCTCTGTGGCATCAAGATGGTGAAGCAGACTGTGAGTACTGGGATCCCTCCTACATTTTTATTTATTTCAGGATAGTTGGTCACTGGACAGTTAGGCCAGCAGTAACAGTAATCTGAGGGGCAGAGTGGGCAGAGTGGAATAAGAGGGGCAGTTGTTCTCCAAAAGTGCTGCCTTTTCATCAAACTTTAAGGTTTGATATTGAAATGGCGTTATAAATGCGTTTTAGTGAAAGCAATATAAAAGTAGAGGCTGCTCTGTTTCATATACAACATAAACGTAGTAGTCAGGCTATGCAACAATTAAAGCAGTTAAAGGCACGTTTTTATGTATTAACTCCTTTACCAGTCAACAGAGGACATGACCTGTGTTGCCTCCTGACAGCAGTCAAAGGCCTACTTTCTTTATTTGCTTGCTGCTCCTGGTGCGAGAATAGGGCCACTGCCTACTGATACGGTATAGAGCCCGTAACTCCCTAGGGAAGGTCTGCAACTTGCACTGGATTCTCTCTCTCTCTATATATATATATAAACCAAGTAGTATTCCAAGAGGAGTAAAGAATGATATTAGCTTTAAAAATCATGGATCACCTGTGACACTAAAGTCAGCATTAGAACAGTAAAACAATCACTGAAAACTCAAGGCTAACTAACCCTTGCCAATAGCTTTCTCAGCATTTTTGTGACAACATATTAACGTGGCTCTTCCCCAGTAGCTTGATGGAATGGAGTTGACTTGTAGCCAAACACTCTCTATCTTTTCACCCAATCTTTCCTGCAAATGTACAACCAACAACTTCAAAGAAAAGCTTTTAGAAAGCCATGGATATAACTTCAAAGACAAATTTTGCTCATCAATGACTATTACATGAGGTATAAGTTTCTTTCCAAATAATAGAGATTGCCGTAGGACAGATTTTCAGTCAAACAGCCTTTTAAAAAAATATCTAGCCTCAGATATCACTACCAGGTGGTAGGAAATATGGGCAATAGAGGAACATATTACAGAAAACCACGAAGATAAAATCAGCCAAATCTAAAATTTGGGAAATTCAAAAGGACAAATAATCCAATTTCTTCAACAAATCCATGACACGGAATAAAAGTTAAAGCAGAAGAAACTTTTATAGTGAAAAAAAATCAAAAGCAAAAACCTACAAAACTTGAGACATACCAAATAAATGCAATATGTGGAATTTGTTTCTTCCAGATTCAAACCAACCCATTATAAAAGACTTTTTAAAAGATAATCAGGGATCATTTAACATGGCCTGGGATACAGATGATACAAGTAATTATTGTTAATTTTGTTGGGTGTGACAATAATAATATGGTTACACTAAATTTTTTAAAGTTCCTACTGTTAGAGAATCATACTAAAGTAAATCCAGGTGAAATGTATGATGTCCTAGATTTGTTTTAAAATACTCCAAATGTATTCATGAATTACTTGTGCAATTAAAAGTAAGTAAAATTCAAGAAATAAGGATATATATATCCATCTAAAGAATTTTCATAGTACATACAAAATATAGTTAAATGTGAGTGAAAAATAATGCCTCAGATGAATGATTTCCTCCAGAGAACCACAATGTTTAGCTTAACTGTAGGACAGCATAACATTTTCAGGCTTAGATTATTTATTAATTATGTTTTAAGTTCTGTTATGGGCTGAATTGTGTCCCTTCCAAAATCATATTTTGAAGCTCTAACCCTTCATGACTTAGAATGTGACTGAGTTAGGACATAGGTTCTTCAAAGAGGCAATTAAGTTTAAATGAGGTCATTAGGCTATGCCCTAATCCAATATGATTAGTATCCTTATAAAAAGAGGAGATCAGCACACAGACAAGTACAGAAAGAAGACCATGTGCAGATACAGAGGGAAGATGGCGATCCACAAGCCAAGGAGAAAGGCCTCAGAAGAAACAACCCTGCTTGCTGACACCTTGATCTTGGACTTCTAGCCTCCACAACTGTGAGAAAATAAATTTCTGTTGTTTAAGCCACAGAGTGGTACTTTATTATGGCAGCCATAACAAACTAATACAGGATCCATGACATGATTTTTAAAAACTATATCCTTCCTTTACCCTACTTATATGGCAGATTATTTCATCTGTCTAACCTACAAACCAGTAAAATAAGAAATGGTCCTTAATACATGGGCGTTATATATTTTCACTTATAGTGTTTAGAAAAAAATAGCATTGTCCCAACTCTGAACATTGAAGCATTCAATGTGTCAGTTAGGACTGGGGGACAGCCCAAATCATACCACTGGTGGCAAAATGAAGCCAAGATCCAGACAAAGGTTCAGCTCCGGGAATCATACTCCCTGTCATACTCTGACAGATTAGAAATGGCATGTACACCAAAACATGTCGATTTACTCTGATATCAAAAGGAAAGCTCTTAGCTTAGACATGGGCATTCCTCATAACTACAAAAAGTGCTGAAGTAAATATCTAATAAGATCAAAGCTCTCTCATAACTTCTCATAGAAAGAAGCAGAACTCTCTAGCCCCTCCTGCTCAAGCAGGTCCTAGTACCTCCAAGACAGACAAGAAGGGAGTCGAGTGTTTCTTTTGACCAGAATTCAGATCTGGCAGCAGCAGGTGGCAGAAGAAGAGCGCCAGACTGTCTGCCAAAGTGCTCTTATAAGCATTATCTCATTCAATCCTAATCAAGAAAGGAGATTCTCTAAAGTGAAAAAGGCCAGAAAACATCTTCATTTCTATCAGCCCCACACCTGAACTACTCACGTCCACAAATTATCTTTGAAAGTCCTTTGGATTTTGAAACGGACAGCTGGTACTTGAATGGGTGCTAAATATATATTAATTCATATCTATACTTTTACTCTCTCTGTGTAATTGTACTTTAAATCAAAATCAGCAAATGAAGTTCAGAATAACCGACTAAAAATAAATGGGACAACTAAATATTTTGGTTCATTCACCTTGAAACAGTCCTTGGTCTGGTAGCATACATCAAGAATGACAAACTTATAAATGCAGATGTTTGTGTTCTGCAGAACAACAATTGTGTTCTCAGAATAGGCACTGCTTCTTCAAGAATGCCCTCTTTCAGGAGTGATCACAATAGGGGACTTTGAGGAAGCCATCAAATTTTGATCCAATAAGACAGAGCTCTACTTTCCTCTAAAACCAGGACCCTAAGAAAGTCACAAACTGATCCCCCAGCTCATAGATTTTGTTTCTACTTAACAGACCTACTCACTAAATCTGTTTCATCTGTTAAAAAATAAAATATTTCTACTGCCTTAAGCAGAAAACCCATGATCCTGAGAGATAAAGAAAAAAGTAAAGTATTTGGAGAGAATAGGGTCGGGCAGGAGTGGTGGCAAAGACCCAGGAATCAACACTGCAAAGCTCAAATTCTTGGTACCTGGAGCGTGACAAGCAAAAAGATGGTAGCTGTGATGCACAGGCAAGATGCCAAAAACTTCCTCCTCTGAATCCGAACCATGCTGCCCAGCCGTGAGTGACTGACAGAGGGCTGGCCTGGTTACCAGGTGTTCTCCAGTCGGCCCATAGCCTGAGACAATCTCATGTGGAGGAACCATCTGGGTGCCAATTTCCT